ACAGAGACCTTAAGATAATTCAGGTCAGAGTCCCACCTGGTTCTGGGTTCTGGTTTTTGTCCCAGACAAACCACTTAGCCTCCCACAACTTAAATTTCTCAGTGATAAAATGAGGACACAAAAACAACTTTTTGCATTCTTTCCAATTCTGAGATCTCATCACTTCCACACCCAATTCTGCTCTTTCCAATCAGCGCATCACGGGCCACCATTCTAGAACCTCCACAAGGTGGCCGGGCATGTTTTCTCTAAGGCACTGGGGATTCACCGGCTGCCTGGTTTGTGGCTTTAAATATTTTATCCCCTAGGATTTTAGACCAAAGTACTTATATGTAACTGTTACTATCTCAGGTAGCACATTGACTAAACTCATGATTTTTGATGTCAAAAAACCAAGAATCAAATCCCAGCTCTGTAGGTGACCTACTATCTGTATGACCTTGAGTAAGTCGTGTAAGCTCTTTCAGTTTCAGTGTATCCTGTACAAAATAAGAGAAATAACAAATGCCTCACAGAATTTTTGTCAGCCTTAGAATGAGATCATATACAACCAGGATTGGAGGTAAAGCTCTCTGTAAACTAGTGGGGGGGGTGTTATTAATAATCTGAGCAGAATGCTTCAAAAGTTGGACTTCAGGTTGCTTAACACCTTTGTGTGCTTCATTACTAACTAGACATCTGACCTTGACAAGTCACTTAGAATCTCCAAATTTCATTGTTCTTATGTATAGACTGGGGAATATAATCACTCTCTTGATGGGTGTTATAAAGAATAAATGATGTGATTGACTCACAATCTGCCCATCACTCACTGGGCAAACTTGGTGAATAACAAGACCAGCTTTTATTAGTGTTTTGTGTCATTTGTATATCTGTAGGTATATTGGTTTGCTAGGGGAGCCATAGATTGGCTGGCTCATACAACAGAAATTTATTTTCTCACAGGTCTGGAGTCCAAAATCAAGGAGCCAACATAGCTGTTTTTTCCTGAGACCTCATCCATTGACTTCCAGATGGCTGCCTTCTTGCTGTATCTTCACATGGCTTCTCTCTCTCTCCCTTTCTCCTTATAAAGAGACAAGTTGTATCTTATTAGGGTCCCGCCCTTATGATCTCATTTAACTTTAATTACCTTCTTAAAGGCCACATCTTCAAATATGGTCATACTGGGGGTTAGGCCTCCAATATATAATTATATGGGGGCAGAGTTCAATCCATAACAGGGCCAGGAATCAGATTGCAGTAGATTAAGGAGAGAGCTGGAGGTAGGAAATGAACCCAGTGGATAAAATCAACTTTTCTGTGATATTTGACAGTGCAGGAGAGGAGAGAGGTTGTCATTATTTTTGTCATTGTTGAGACAGCATGTGACCAAGTAGAAGGAGCATAAGCTTTGTCATTAAAGACTTGAGTATAAATCTTGTCTTTTTTTCTCCTGTGTGACATCCGATCACTCATTTTTTTTTAAATCTCTATGAGATTCAGTACCAACATATGTAAAAAATAGACAATTGCACCTTATCTTGAAGTCACCGCAAGGACTAGAATAATATCAGTAGATCTCGTCTCCTGAGGTATAATCGGAGCTCAATAAATGATAAGCACCATATTTAAAATCCCCCAGAAGCATGCTTTTCAGTGGTGGCTGAGTCTCATCACGTATTTCACAGGTGGATTGTGCTGTGCTCTTCACAGAGTTTGCCTCCAGGAATCAGAGTTTTGATTGAGTTAGGTGGTGTCATTTTTTAAATTTATCATAAACTGGTGATTGCTGATGATTTCAGGTGTGTTTTTAGAGCCTATCAGACTCTTGGAAATAGAAACAGCCCTTTGGCAGTTAGGAGTCATTAAAAAGTAAAGTACCAGTCAGCAGAGAAAACAAGAGAGCTTGCAGGCAGGCGCTTCAGGTGTGGTGCTTTGAATATTGCATGTGGTGTTTTGAATATTGCATGTGCTGCTCATCTGATCACACACACTTAACTCAATTAAACTGATCCTCTGGCCCTGGGTCCTTTGTCTCAGTCTCAGTATCTGAAAGTCTGCAACTGCTGGAGAAGAAAGTGTGTTGGGCGTGTGGTTCAGACTGCTGTGTGGTTACAAAGGCCAAGAAGTTAATAAGCCGTTTTGTTTCTTGCCAGTGGAAGGGTCACTAGGTCCAGAGGAGGTTATGCTGTGATTGAAAGACTGCTCAGAGAATCTGATTAAAAGTCTCGCTACTTTTGCCTACGTTGTGTTTCTCAGAACAATGCACAGTCAACACAGCGATTCCAAAGAAGGCATTTAAAGTCCACCAGTGGTCCACAAACCACAGCCCGAGAAATCATTTTCTAGAGAGCAGCTAAGGCTCATGGGGCTCCACAGAATTGGAAACTCTAACAGCAATATCATTTGTTTATTCATTCATTCATTTGCCAAATAATTCTTTAGCCATGAGGTATGAGACTCTATGTCAAGTCCAGAAGATATTCAGGTCTGTAAGGCATTACTCCTGTCTTCAGGTAACTCACAATGTGAAAGGCAGACATGAAGAGGTCACACTGTTTTGCTTTACATGCAGCTAGATAACAGGGAGGCGGCGTGTGAGAACCCCAGCCAGGGAGCCATCCATCCACATGGCGGAGCAATCCAGGGAGGTTTTAGGGAGGAGGCAGTAATATGTGAATTGGATCATCAAAGATACATACACTTCACCAGGTGGAATAAGAACAATATTTTAAGCTGAGGAAATTATACTGTAAATGGTTCAAAAGTAGTTTAGATCAGAACATCTTTCAAGAAATTAGAGTCTTCCTATCTGTCATTGTCTGTTTACATTTAGATCTGTTCTGTGGCATTTATTTCTGCATTGACAACTACGATAACTACAACACAGCCCAGTGGATGAACAGCCATCGTAGGGAGTACCCTCTTCCTTCATTTTCTCTTGCTCAGGACCCAGTGAGCAGCATCACCTTATTCGCTCCAATGAACCAAAGGAAAAATTGAAGGAGCCCCAATTTGGCTTTTTTTTTTTAATTTTCCTCATAAAACCCAGCCTGAGATTAAGTTGTTAAAGCCTAGCTACCTCACATTGGCTACTTTAGCTCTTTTCACATCCTTTGGATGCACACCCCAAAAATTCTCATCAATTTTATCCCTGTCGGCTCAGAGTTGATTCTTGGTCTTTCCATCTGTTCAAGTCCCTTTTATTATTCTTGCCCATCAATCACTATTTCTGCAGTTCTTCCAGATCACTGTTGCAAACTAAAGTATTCTGATATAAAAAGTACAAAAGATATTTGCAAAAAAGGTATATTTGCTTTTACTTCCTCTTCCTCATTTTGACAAGCACAACCATTCCAAGTGTCTGTTTCCTCACCAGGATTAATCATTTGCAAACTCCCCGAGGGCAGTGACACAGAGATTAGACTTCCACAGACCTTTCTTCTCTGCTTAATATGAGCTCTGGCCCCTCACAGCCCAGTGTGAGGAAGGGCAGAACTGCGTAGGTACAGATGTTAGTGAGTGGCAGCATTATCAAGTATCAAAAAGATGTGACTTGTGTGGTCAAAAGTGACTACATTTCCAGCTGACACATGAAACGTGGAATTGGGAATACTGGTGGTCCTGGGTCCAGAGTTAATGACAAGAAGCTGTTGTCCTGGGCCTCAGCCCTCTGAGTTAGAAGTCTACAGCCAAGAGGAAGGAATGTAATGGAAGGAAGCCCTGACCTTAGGAGCCCTGACCCAGTGTGAGGCCTGGTGATGCTTCTGCCCCTAATGAATCCCTTAACTAAGGTTTGGACCGGTCTATGGCAGGAAACACCCCTTAGGCCTCCAGTGGGCCACACCGAAAAGAAGTGGGACCTGGTTAAGGATGCTGTACTTTGAGACCCAATAGCCAGATCCTGATATAGCCCCACACCTCCCAAAGTGTGTCCTACATGCCCCGGAGCAAATAGGCAGATGTTACTTGTGGAAGGAAGGGGTCTCTGGACAAATGCCCTTTGGGGTTAATTGGGTTACCAAAGTGAAATAAAATTCTTTGTTGTAAGTTCTCTTAGAACTTTATATTCCTATGTTTTGCTCCTAAACTATACTAACATTTACATTTCCCAAATTTACATGGGCTGAAAATTATTTTGCATAAGAACATCTTAGAGATATTATAGTATAAATATAATTCACAAAGCAAAGTGCAATGTTTTATAATTTACCTGTAGCATGGATTTCCTTGCCTGCAAGGTAGGGTCTGGCCAGAAGTTCCCCTGGGCCCTGGTCCACACAGTCCTATGTGCACCTGTGAAGGCTGAGTTCATGCCAATCAAACTGGCAGATGATTTTGTCTACATTATTTGCAGCCCAGGTGAAATACTTTATTTCAGAAGAATCCTCATTCAGTACAAACAAAGTTTTATTTCATAAATGCATGATAGAAGGGTGATGTTGATTGCTATTAAACTAAAAATCTATTTTCATAGCTAGTACTTGGTATATATACACAAATCCCAGGTTTTAAGTTTTCTATATATTTTTTAACTTTTTGTACTGTACTGAAAAATATTAGTGTTATAATGTCTAATGACTAGAAAATGTTAAAAATGTTATATGGCCCTGGCTGTGTGGCTCAGTGGATTGAGTGCCGACCTGTGAACCAAAGGTCACCAGTTCGACTGCCAATCAGGCCAGGTCCCCAGGAGTATTCACATGTGAGAGGCAACCAATCAATGTATTTCTCACACATTGATGTTTGTCTCCCTCTCTTTGTCCCTCCCTTCCTCTCTCTTTAAAAGTGAATAAATAAAATCTTAAAAAATAAATTGTTTAAAAAAGAAATATTATATAGAATTAGCCTGGCTTAATAGTGTAAACTCTGGGAAATATAAATATGGTTTGGCAGTGTGAGAATCATTCCTCTGGAAAAATAATAGACATCTAAAGAGTATTTCTCTCTGCTTACCTGTGGATAAGCACGAGTATGCGGTGGCTGTTCCTAAGACTCTGCTTGCTTTCCCCCTGCAGACAGCGTGGAAGATGAGCTGGAGATGGCCACAGTCAGGCATCGGCCTGAGGCTCTTGAGCTTCTGGAAGCACAGAGCAAATTCACCAAGAAGGAGCTCCAGATTCTTTACAGAGGATTTAAGAATGTAAGAACTCTCTTTCTGATTTTACCTTCCCCTAGTTCTCAGAGGAGCATTGAGAAATGAGAGGGAAAGAGGAAAATATACAGTCTGTGAAAGCCCCATTGTATGTGTGTTTCACACCAGTCTCTCCTAGATGTGGGTATTGTTGGTCACCATGTGGGCTTTGACTCACTCTGACATACCAGTGCTCATACATTAGGCACACATTGGACACGGATGAGTCAAGGAGAAAGGCTTATTCAATTCAGTTATTAGTTGGGGTATTTTTTCTTTTTTAGCAATAATGATATCATTTCAATAAGTGATAATATTTCAGCTGTCTCTTCATTGCTAAACTATAGTCCTAAGCTTGACATGAAACTTAGCTACAAACCAGGGCCTTTCAAAGAAGTCCATTCCTAACACTGGAGAAAAGTTTTGATAAGTCTGATGTCTGTAAAACACTATGCTGCAAAGACTCTAGACCACAGGTATCTGTAGGTGGCCCCTGCATCCAGTTACCTGTGATACAGGTATGACTCTGATACTCCTTTTTCAGTGATTCATCTTCAAAAGGAATGATAGTCCATGGACACAGGAGAGTTAGGGTGGGAGACAATGAGTGGTCCAGGCAATCAATCCAACACACGGTCTTATTGAATCTTTGGTATGTGCTCAGTATTAAGCTAGACATTGCAGGTTATTCAAAAGCTAGGGAAGAGATGCTTCTTTCTTCAAGGAGATTATGGTCTGAATATAAAGAAAGAAGACTTACCCTCATGAATCTATTGGAAAGCAATTCATCTTTAAAAGTATCCATGGTTGTGGTTGTGTATCGAATGGCATGCACCACTCAAGATGTATTGTCTTCTTACACATCCGTAGGCCATAATGAGATGCAAATTAAATTGCTTTGATTTCTCCCCAAACCCACTTTCAAAGACACTTAAATTCCATAGCCCATAAAAGTCTATAGTGTCCAAAGATTTCTGCTAATTTCATTCTTTTCAAATCTGACCACTTCAAATACCATATTTTTCAGACTATAAGACTCACCTTTTTTTCTTTTCCTTCCCCCCCAAATTTGAAAGGAATAATGGTTGTTAATGCTACCATTGAGTTTGTTTACATTTATATTGGCGAAATATTATGTTATTTATGTTTCTAAATATTTTACCACATTTTTTGCTTCAAATTTTTTTCTTATTTTCCTCTAAAACCCAGGTGCATCTTATGGTCCAAAAAATACAGTTAGTACCTCCATCCAAGATCATGCAGGCCAGATGAGAAACTCTGGCCCTTCTTTGATATCCATAAAACATGTAATCAGAGCACTGGTAACTCCTGTTGAGTTTTCAGAATATACTTATAGGATCATGCATATTGCATACAACCTTCCACCATCTCTCTGACTCCATGGTGTACCTCTGTCCTATTTCTGCTCCTCACCACTCTCCTTATCAGGGCATTCTAAATTTTTCTTCCCCTATTATTCTTCTAAAACCTCATTCTCTGCTATCACCCAGGCCTTTGTAGGGGGTACACTAGATGAGGAGGAGGGAGACATAATGGAGATAGGTGTTCAATACACAGGCACAAGACTCTCATTAAAAGGGATCTTTATGTGCAATGTACCTAGATGATGTGTATAAGTAAACATGCATAAAGAGAAAGGAGTTGTAAAGAATTATTAGTTATGCCTATGCTGCCAATTTGCAAACTTCAGAGTGAGCAAGACTTACAATGCAACAGCTGCCCTGATTCCTGGCAGCAGCAAACCACTGAGTGGCAAGGATGGGAAAGGAGAGGAGGTGAGAAAGACCAAGTCTTGGCCCAAAGTAAATGCTAAGGAAAGACTAATATAACAGAATAGAACTTCAAACGCATTCTTGGGGACATCTAAATGTCTTTGCTCTAACTCAAAGATCTCGTAATAAGCAAATGTATTTCTTTTTAACATTGGATTATTCATCAGATACAAAATGACTATTGACTAAAGGAGAAATTAATCCAGCCTTCCAGAATGCCTGCACTCCTGGACAGCTGATCTACATTATTACTCCACTTTCATCACTGTAGGTCCCTCCATGTGGGACTCCATGACTTTTAACCCATTTGTTAAGAATTAGCATCATGGTTACTGCCATCACCGACCTCAGGGACCAGCATCTCTGCAACAGGTCTCAACCAAGTTGCACTTCACAAAATATTGCCCAGGATCCAATGTTTGCATTCAGTAATTTCTTTTGTGTACTTGTTCTGTTTCCTATTTTCCCCTTCCCCCTCTTTTCCCAACTGTTCTTTCCCCTTATCCTAATATTCTGATTTTCTCTCTTTCCTCATTTCTCCATCCTCATTTCTCCATTCTCTCCCCATTTTTTAAATCTTTTTTATAAAATCCTCACCTGAGGATATGTTTCTTGATTTTTTAAAAGAGAGGAAGGGAGAACGGGAGAGAGAAACATCAATCAGTTGCTTCCCACACACGCCTTAGCCGGGGATAAAATATGCAACCTAAGTATGTGTCCTGACTGGTAATCGAACTTGCAAACTTTTGGCGTGCCTGATGACTCTCCAATCAACTGAGCCACCTGTCCAGGATGCTCCCCTCTTTTTTTCTCTTTGTCTTTTCATGTTGTCAACTCCTGACTCCTTTCCTTTGTACCTTCTCTTTCTTCCTCTTTCTCCACTTTTTCTCTTCTCTCTTCATTGTTTTCTCTATCCCGCCCACCCCACCTCATGAGATAAGTTTCCATCAGACCTTTACATGCCTAAAGCGTATTTAAGATACTTCTTTCAAAGGAAGGACTTCACGGTTGCTCAGAAAATATGACTTGATGTCTCTGAGAAACCACACAAGAGTGGTACTGCAAGACCAGCACTGAAGCAGGTCAGCAGCATTTGTGTTCGCCGGGGGGACAGCAGTCGACCCAGCTTGGCATTTGAGAAAGCAAATGAACTACCCTTGATTTCCTGAACACCAATTATCTCAAGCCCTTAAGTTCAAAAAATCATTTCCTTGGGACCAATTAGGATATTCATTTTTAATGAAACCTTTAAAAACTCCCCATATTTTGATTAGAAGGATAAGCTATTCATCAGCATCTTAAAATACTCACATAGAAGTGGCTTAATATGGCAAGGCATGCTGCAAGTAACAGCCCCCAGAGCCCCCCATCTTTTTCCAGTGCTGTATCTCTGATAGCATTTCTTCATTCCCAACATAGTCATCAATATCAATGGGGTCTGGGAGAAAATGAAGATGGTGGGACAGAATTTCCCAGCCCTTCACCCCATCTTACCCACTGAATCACCCACCTCCCATATTTTCATTTCTCTTAACACATGCTGAACTGCGTCTCCAAAAGTAGGCAGCTGATACAAAAGGGAGACTATAATACAATTTTTCTCAACTTTTGGTGGGCCTCGGAATCATCTGATGGACTTGTTAAAACACAGACTTCCGGGTCCCAGCCCAAAAGATTCTGATTTAGTGGGTCTGAGACTGGGGTGGAGACTTTGCCCTTTTTGTAAGTTCTTGGGCAATGCTGATAGGCTGTTCTGAGGATCGCACTTTGAGAACCACTGTGTAGTGCAGATCTCATAACCTTTGCTGTCAATCTCGAGCCCACATTTTACTTGTTTAAGCAGCCCCCTCTGCGTCAGTGGTCTCTACAGATTTGGATAATGATATCTACATCACACAGGTTTGGGTTTATTCATTTTGTTTCATCTTTATTTTTGAGATAATAAGCCAACAAACATGAAGTTAAGCAAAAAGGAGTTATGATAGCGTGGCCCCAAATAGTCAGCCTCACTTTTGTGTCCCATCAAAAAAGTGGGACATTAATGGTTGGCCTACACACCTGCAGGCATTGTCCTGGGTCTTGAGCTACTAGGTAGTAGAAAGGCTGTGGAAAAATACAAGGTATCATCCACACATCAGCAGCCTCACACTTAACTGCATGTTGCGATCACCCAGGGGGCTTTAAAAATTGCAAATAGTTGAGTTTCGTCTTTGGTGATTCTGATGTAATTGTTCTGAGAAGAAATTTGAGCAACTGGATTTATAAAGCTCTCCAGGTAATTATAATGTGCATTCCAGGCTGAGAACCATTGAACTGGATATATAAGATTCTAGGTGTAAGGCAATTCTATCACACACACACACACACACACACACACACACACACACACAAAATGGACCTAATAATGAAGGGCCCTATAATGGCAAATACCAATGGTTAGACTGGCCTTGTGGGAACCTTGCGAAGTCCTTTGTGGGTGGGATGTTTGTGTGTGTGTGAGGGTGTGGGGAGTGGGACTAACAGGTCTTACCTCTAGTGATTGTGATTCAGTTAAATCTGGGGTGATGCTCAAAAATCTTTTTGCTTTTAAGCTTTTCAATTAAAAAAATAAATTCTCACTTTAATAGATAGCTAACAGAAGGCCACATTTGAGAACTGCTGACCCAGAAGATCATACAAGCATTTATATATATGATTCGTAAACTCCCTTTGCTGCTCTGTTTCAAAATCAAGCATAACTGCAGTGCAGTTTTAGGTGACCATGAACAGTCTACTGGGCATTCAGTTTTAATATGGCCATGCTTCTTCCCAGTCATGAGTACACGAACACAGAGTTTATTCTTGTATTATTTTGTATTGGTTATTGTATTATTTTCCATATGAGCAACTGTAAACCAACTTCTGCTCCACCCTGCAGTTAGACCTGTATGCCTTGGACTCCCGGCTCCTTGCTTTCCCACATGTTTGCCTCCTTCCTTTTCCTTCACTACTTAGAATTATATTAGGAGGAAGTATCCACTAGATTCAAATATATACTTTAAGGCATCACTTTAATACTTGTTAATGTTGGACTAAAAATGATTAAAAATTAATGCTTTCCCTCTCATCTTCTAAGTGCTTCTAGCTGAGCTAATAATCAAATTAACAAAAATAGATTAACAAGAGAAAAATCTAATTTTAATACATGTGCATGGAGAATGCACATAAACATAAAAT